ACAAAAAATCATACCAAAACGAAACAAAATACATTTTAAAGTTAAAAAATCGCGATACTTTTTGCATATTTTTTACGAAATTTTAGAAAAAAGGTTTGCGATTTTGCGATGCTACATCATAAAAAAATCCTCAAAATCGTTTTTTCCATATTTGGTGCTATTTTTCTCAAAATTATGAATCATGATAAGTCAAATTTGGACAACAAATTCATGTTCAATATCCATAAATACATTAAAAGCTTAAGTGTTAAAAAATTTTTTTATTGCAGCTTGCGTAATTTTATATGAGTATGTATGTATATACATACATACAGCTCCAGCAAGGTTTATGCTGTATTCATTATTCTCTATATTACTATATGGGCGGATGAGCCTTCTAGCAAGTAGGTAGCATCAAAACACGAGTTTATTCATTGTGATGATCACGTGGACGTTCTCACGCTTACACACCAGTGCACGGCTCGGCCTATGAGATTGTATGAGATTTATCCCCTCGGCCCTCCCAACTCTGGTTAGGAATTGGTTAGAATCGTCATTGAAGTTGATTGAAGTCGCGCGGGTGACGTACGGATATCATAGAAAACAAGGACACGAAAAATGAATGAAAATTTGCTGAAGCGGATAAAGAGACAGTTGAACGCAAAGTTTTATGTGATGAACGACGCGTGGCTGAGAGATTGCATCGAATTCTTTGTTAAGGACAAAGTTCCACATGAAGTACATAGCGAATTATTGTCATTCTGTTATTTTACATATATCATTATTAAAATTATAAAACGGTAACATACATTATAATTATTTTGTGTCTTCAAACAAGCAAAAGTTGAACGAGACATTGAATATTTTATTATAACTTGTCAAATGAGATTTATCAGTTTCTATAATGTTATAAAGATTAAAATTATAAAGATATCTAAAATATATGTACACTTAATAATTTCTCACTTTGTATATGATTGAATGCTTGACATATATTTGCATGCAAAGTCAGATGTATTCATAAAAAGTAAAACAACAGGAAGAAGAAAAACTTTTAATTGTTGAACAACATTGAATTTATTATTGAAATATTTGTAATGTTCTATAATTTATTCAATTACAGTTACCAGTACAGATAATATAACAAAAGTAATTTATTAACTTACTCGAGATAATTAACTTCTATGATAATTATGATTACCATTACAGATAACAGATAGGCATATTTTCGAATTCGTGGAGGGCCAATGGCAATTGAGTGATCTATGGGAAATTAGCAATGAGAATGGATGTCTGCCGAGGAATCTGGTACAACAGACACGTACTGTATTGACTGGTACCTACATTCTCCAGGTGAGCTTTGTGGTATTTCCTATCCAAGCACATATTTCTTACCTCAGAGATCCAAATATCATATATATAGAGATCCGGTGTAAGCATAGGTAGACAAGATGTATGACATAGCGAGTGCCAAGTATAAGCAGCTTTGTGAAATTCGCAAAATCAACAATAAGAACTTGGAAGTAATAGACGAGGAGAAGCCGGCAGAGTGGCAGCCCAAAGGCAGGAGAATGATGCAGTTGTGTCTCACTGATGGAGTGCAGGACATCACTGCGATAGAGTATACTCCGGTCAACCAAATAACTGTACTGTTTTTCCCATTGCTACATGATTTAAATAGATAACTACTTATCTAAATTATCAAATTTAAAAAAATGATAATTATACAAATGTTTATTGCAGGGTATATTACTCCCTGGTTACAAGGTGATGATAATCGGTCCAATCGATTGTAGACGCGGTATTATTCTCCTAGAAGACGGCAAGTACAAGGAAGTTGGCGGGGAAGTGGAAACTCTATTGAAATCCAATGCGTTGGAGAATGTCTTGGCAAGAGCTCTGTAAGATCTAACCAAATTTTTCTTGAATCTAATTCTTGATTCCTTGATTCTAATTCCTTGATCTGTATTACATTCAATTGTCTTCAGAGGAGAACCAGAAAACCCTGATCCATATAATGATAATGAATCATCCAGTATCACAGATCAAAATGCTCAGAGCGTAGCTAATCCTAATCCTAACAATAATGACAGTTTTTTCGATGATAATTTTGAAGAAGCTGTTGATTTGGAAGCAGTGACAGCGATCGAACAACGAAGTCAAGAAATCAATGCTGTTCAAGAACGCTTTGAAAGTACGTGCGGTCGCAGCCAAATGCTTAAGAAAGAAACAAATGAAATTATAGAAGAAACTTTGGAAGATATAGACTTTGAACCCTTAGAAGATTGGTGAGTATTAAAGTATTAAAAAACAATTTCTTAATATAAATTTAATCCAGATAATGATACACACACACACACACACACACAC